ATACTACTACACACACACACACACACACACACACACACACACACACACACACACACACACACACACACACATTTTTCGTGAACCTAATAATAATAATACATAGATTTGATATCGCAATTATTCTATTAAATATATAAAAAATTACAATATTAGAATTTATTAAAATGCGTTTAATTCTTATTAAGACTTGTGTCACCTGTTGTCCTAAACAATACGACTTTAAACCTGAAGATATCCAATTATCAAATCATCTTAGATTTTTAAATACAATCTCCAGGATGACTTAATAAATAATTCTGAAGTAATTCAATATTTAAGTATATCCTTTCATTCAACGCCCAAATGTCAATATCTTTGAAATTATTACATCAGCTGCATCTTGTATCTTTTCGAATGCTTGGTATTAGCTGAGAGATTGGAAAATGAAATGAATGATATCTAAATGAACGTATTCAATTGAACTGTCCATAATATGACATGTCCATTTATAATTTATTTATTTGTAACATGTTTAATTATACTATATATTTAAGTAAATCTAATTCAATAAAAAGCTTTGCGATTTGTATTTATAAAACTAAAATCTTCAAATATGTAGATTATTCGAAAAATATTGAATTTTTAGAATTAATTCTTAGAATTTCTTAAATATTTAAATTATAAAATATAAAATAAATAATATAAAAATAAATAATATAAAATAAGCTTAAAACTGATAAAAAAACAGGCTTATACCTATTGGTGTAAGGATCGGTTCTGCAACGTGTACTGGTGGTACTTCTACATGAACTTCCAATGGATCTATTAATGACAGCTGGGTACATGTAATCATTCGAAGAGGCTCTGTCATACCTATATGTAACAAAATAACATTAGAAATGTTTCTTTTAGCATCTAAAGCTATTGTGTAAAATTAACTTATTTAATATTTATAATTTTATATAAATATCTAGACATACATATTATGTCAGATTATCATATGAATTTGGCTGTTTGTCTTTTTCAATATACCTCTTCTGTTAATAAAAGATAAAGAAATTCAAAATATTATTTTTTTTTTTTCATACATGATCCCCCTCCCCGCCTCTTAAGATATGTGTTAAAAATGCATAAAATTAAAACATTAAAAATATAACTGTTAAAAAATGTTTAAGAAAATTTATAATTAGGAAACTATAGACTATTGCATTATATTGTATTATATAAACATAAATTATTTTGATAAATATATGATACAACCTGTTGTTGACGATTCAGTCGATTGTATTCGCTGTTGTGTTTGTCCGATTGAAGGAGTTTCCGTAGTAGTTGTCTCCTCATTATGTTCTTGCATGTTAATAACATTTTGTCCAAGTTCTCTTGATTCTTGATCCTGATCTTTTTCAATAGTTATGCCGTCTGCTTCCAGTCCGGAAGACGATGCGTCTTCCATATGCGTCGGTTCCTCTGGTAGTGTGGCGGATGGTGTTGGTCTTCTACCCTGACGATCACGTGTTTTGTAAGCTTCTACAGCTTCAGAAATGTGCTTACACCAGAGTTTGCGCTCTGCCGAGGATGGTGCCACTAAGTTATACATTTGTGCACCATCCTGCGAGGTATTAACAAGATAGAGAGAATCCTTTTCGGCAGCATTGTGACGCACTAATACAGTGGATAACTTGACAATAGGACTTAATACAGAATTTCCCGCCTGGTTAGTCGTATTGATAAACTTAAGCAAATATTTATCATCTTGTCGATGTAGAAATAAAATCGTATCGTCCAGCAGCACTACATGTAGATCAACTGGTTTCGGTACCGAGCGATTCGGCATCGATCGATTTAATTCAGTACGTCGCCATTGTAGTGGCCCCTCATAGATTAATTTACGCTTTGTGATATCAAGATTCTTGAATTCTTGCACGGTTGGATCATCAAATTTATCAAAAGCTGAACGATCAATTGCTCGTTGAATCTCTGTCAGACGTTGGTGATCCTCGGCCTCTTTCACCGCCTGATTTACGCGACTCAAGATCTCTTTACTGCGCTCGAGACTGCGCAATACAGCTATTTTCTCTTTTTCATTATTATCCGGCGTATACTTAGCGAGGTTTTCAAAGAGCAACGGATATTTAGTAAGTCGTAGCATGCCAGTAAGTATATGATCTTTTAGTTGAAGTCGGCGGCACAATGGATTTGCCTCCACTTCGTTCAAAAAAGTATTCAATTTGGAATCCTTTCGACGACGATCGCGCAGAGCATCCAGAGCAACTTGTTGTTTAGCACAATAAGTTGATGCAGCCTTTTCGAATACTTCGCCAGCTTCACCATCAAACATCTCCAGCAGAAGATCGCCTACGTCACTCACGCACGGATTCTCTTTCTTTTTTCGTTTCATTGCTTGATTAAAGCGTGAATGTATCATCAACATTTCATCCAAATTAGAAAAAAGCAATTGAATCTGATCTAATGGCAGCACCTGAGATTCCAACAAAGGCTTATGGAAGACGTGTGAAAGCACTTTCAATGCGCGAACGTGAGAGCGTTCGGTGTGAAATAATTCTAAAAAAAAAAAATTTTTTTAGACATCAATTGAATGTAATACAAATGTAATAAAAAGATAAAAAGAGTGATAATCTATCACTACCATTGAAATGATTATACTAGAACTTGAATAATACATTGTGAACAAAAATATATATTATCAAAGTATTCTGTTCTCAACTGAATTGATTGAAACTGAACTTTCTTATATTTAATTTACTCCTCAATTTTATATTGCAGAAATATAAATTAGTAAAGTAGTTTATGACAAAATTATTATATAAACTGTCTTAAAAGAAGGATTAACAAGAAGGGTTAACAGATTAACAATTTACCATTAATAACATCTTGTCTCTTTTTTTCAGAATTGCTGAGTTGTGCAAGAACATCTTCAGGAACAGCTTGAGTCCAATCCGGTGGATCAGCCTCGACATCGACATCACTGTCCCATGAAGTTGATGCATTTGTCACCGATGAGGTCGGATGTACTTGCTCCAAACTGGTACTAGGACTATCTAGACTCCTCGTCGAGAGACTGCTATTTGATGAACTGCCAGCTGAGTTCCCAGGAAATATTCCGGAAGGCTCACAATCACTGGAACCGACTCTATAGTCAATCCATTAGCAATTTATATATTTTATTACTTACTATTTATAATACAGCTAATATTATTTGATGCAATTTGCATTATTACATCAATTTATGTAAAAAATATATACTTCTTAAAACAATCATCCATCGCTAAGTCTTAAAAAGCAAATTTTTCTGTATTTTTCTATATTTCGTCATTCTTTGGAAAAAGATAATGATGAATAAAATAGGTCGATTTTGATCACTAAAGTAGCAAATAATATATATATATATATATATATATATATATATATATATATATATATTTACAGAGGCAAACAAAATTTTTACAAATGTCAAACAATACTTTTTGTAAACAAATTACAGTTTTATTTAAAAAATATTTTTAATATGATAAATTTTGAACTTTATAAACATAAGGTTTTTAAAAAATTTATATATGAAATGTACACATTTGAATTGTATATCAATAAAAAATATTATAAAGAAAGATACAATTGAAATAATATAACTAAACTCAATTTCTCTTATTTAAAAAATACCTTTCAGATTTTGTACGTCGTTCGTTAGGACTATGCAGATATTCGCGCGCAGTGGCAATAATAGCGTCATCATTTGACGCGATAGGCACTTCGGTGACATTTTCATCAGCATCCGAATATTTCTTCGAAGTGATATCGGCCTGATCGGATTGATCCAAACGCGAGTTTGGCTCCAATACCGACGGATCATCGGAGCTATCATCATTAGACACGAATCGGGAACGTATGCGTTGCGAGCCGCGTTGTCTCATTCTTTTATATTTTTTCTTAATCCGTTCGAGGGCTTTGGCCCGTCACGTAAGCACAACGCGAAAAAATTATCTCTAACATGTAGCCATTGTTCTGAGCTTTTCGATTTATATTGTTAGCAAATTTCACATGTAACATTGAAACATTTAAATTGATAAGTACATATTCACGCGCGATAAAGTAGTAAGATTTTAAAGGTCATTGGCTCAATATCAAAAGCTATACAGTGCGTTGACATTTCAATCTAAATCACATACATATACAGCGTGACACTGAAAATAGGTAGTCCTACTTTGATAAAGTGTTCTATTCTTCTTAAAGATACAAAAAAGTCATATAAACAATAAAAACTCTTTTTCAAAAACTCTTCCTTTCTGAAATACTAATACAGCGAAATTTTCCATGAATAACTGTCATATGTAGAATTACGAACATTGTCAACATTTTTTCTATTAGAAGTAAATAATATAGTAAAGCGTTCTAATATTGAAGATATCGTAATAATCAGCATTCCATAGTTAAAACAGTTATATTAGAATGGCTTATTCTAATATTGATCTAATTGGGCAGATATTCATTTCATATATGGACAAGCTAACGAAGATACTGCAAGAGTAATCCCTATTGGAAGGCTTTTTCTCGGAGAGGATGTTTTGCTAAAATATATTTCTTTCAGCTTAAAGATATTGAATCTTTCTCATCTAGTGCAATTACCTAAAAATGAAACATGCTTGAATTCCTGAAGTTGAAGAATAAGTATTAAGATAGGCGCCGAAGAAAATTCAGAAGTCAGCACGAGATAGATTGCATTAGAAATGCAAAATTGTCTCGCGAAGCTGTATAAAGAATTTTACGAGAAAACTGCTTATATCTTTATTACATTCAGAAAATACAAGAATTTCTGCTAGCGGATTATCACGTGTAATTTTTTGTTAATAATATCTGTAACAATGCATTAATATACATGAGTATTTTGCGTTAGTATGCATGAATAATATACATGAGTATACTTGAGTTTTGAAGTATCTGTTTTTTCATAGATGAGATAAAATTTATGAAACGTTATTGTAAATTTTTACAATCAACATCTGTAAATGTACGAAAATCCATATGCACTGATTAATTAATCTCGATACCAATATTAGTTTTTGTGCAATGTATGGGCTAGAATTATTAAAAATTTTTTTATTAGGCCAATTTTTCTTCGTCTTAGAATATTAGGCGATTAGAAATTACACATTTCTAGAAATTAAATCTACAACATTATTATACATTATAAGTATCGATGGCAACACGTACGAATGTGGTTTATGTACAAAGAAACTACATTTTAATCAAACTGTTTGGAATATACTTTAATAATAACTACGCTAATCAATGAATTGACCGAAAAGGACCGATTGCATCGCCTGCACATTTCTCTGACTTAACTCCTTTAAATTTGTATTGGTAAGAATATCAAAAAAGTTTAGTTTATGATAATAATACTATCAACAGTCTAAAACACTCTAAAACAGTCTAAAAATCAGATTATTTCCGTATATGATAAAATTTGAAATTTTTTAACATCTTTGACAGTTGACATCGATGTAAAGCGTTTATTGTTGCCGAAGGAAGTCATTTTCAGCAATTTCTTTAAGTAAGTTTTTTAAGGAATCCTAAAATACTCCATCATAAACAAAAAGTATTTATATTTTGAAAAGAAAGAATTTCCGGATCTATGTTTATATGACTTTTTTTATTTTTATGAAAAATAGGATACGTTATCAACACACATTACAAAGTAATTGTAACAAAAATTATTAAAATGATTGAAAAACATTCTTTATATTTTATTTTTGTATTTTTGTATTTTTTTTCTCTTGAATTTTATTATTATTTATAAACTTTTAATTTATAAACTTTTTTATTATTTATAAACTATTATTTTTCAACTAGTACTGTTTATATGTGTAAAAATTATTATTTATTCTATATCTTATAATTAAAATATTCGTTTACTTGAAAATGTAATATATTCCGTTTATAATTTACAAATTTATTTATAAAAATTACAGTTATCTTATTGAAAAATTCACAAGTTTAAGGGGAGATAAATCAAAATTAACTATATTATATAATTATAGATATTTCAAAATACTTCTCTTATTATTATATTATTTATTTTTAATTTTAGTACGTATTATATGCATAATTAAAATCTCTAATTAAAAAACTAGATATTTCATACTCATTAGTTAAAAATTAAATAAAACTTTTGTTTGATTTTTAATCAATAGTTTCACTTTCATTTGAATCTTTTTAGTTCAGTTCATTTAAATTGATTTGTTTACATCCTCAAATTTTATAAAATTTCCATTGTTTTGTAATAATATTCATGATATGAAAAATAAATGTTCAAAATTTTCTGCATTCTTCTTTTTCTCTGCCACAAAATAATTAAAAACAATCATTAATTCTATAACAATAATAAATAATTAAAATACTTAAATATATACTCAAATATATACATTCTCTATAAAAAAATATATACATATATACATGTAAAGCATTTAATAATAAACGTAAATAAAAAACAATATATTGTAAATTGCATTCATGTGAATTCATGTACGCATATATACAAAATGTATATATATACTAACAGAATAAGATATATAGAAAATTCCTCAAACTCATCTTTGTTAAAGAACCGAAGAATTATGATTAAAAGGAAGCGCACTTAGTGAGGAACACCCTATACAATTGTATTGATTCGAAAGTATCGATCGCTTCGGAAATAAAAGTCAAGACGTATCCGTGCTCTGACATCATTAGGTTTTTCTAGTATGTACATATATCAGACAATCCCCCCCACCCCCAAAACACATTTTTTTCAGTGTTATTAATTTTTGTTTAAATAGAATATACAAATGCTATGCGCACACTATTTATTTTTTTAAACAGGAGAAGCAGAAATTAATATAATACTATTACACTATTACAGTACACTGTACAGTAATTCCTTCCTATACACCACATATACAATTGTCAAAATATATAGAATATATAGAATATAGAGAATATATAGAATATATATAGAATATAGAAATATATAGAATCTTTACGATAATTATTCGTAGAGTAAGTGCAACGAGAGAACTAATCGGCATCATTGAAAAAGGCAATAATAAGTTTTGATATTTTCGAGTTTCGATATTATATACATTTTTAAAAAAGGATAAGTAGAAAAGATAAGAGCATCAAAATAAGATTCTTAGCTTGATTATTACAAAAAAATGTTTAATTTTCTGATTAAAAATACTCTTACTGCCGTTTTTCTTTATTTATTAACAAAGAATCTTTCGGATGTTGGGAGAAAAGAGTTTTAAAAGATTGAAAGACGTCTTCGTCAAATAAAATTCTAACATAATTCTTTAGAATCGAAAACACATGAAAATTATTCTAAGAAATCTGCTTCCTATGATTTTTTAATTCGTGATTTTTCTGAAGACTAAGACGAATGCCAAGAAAAAGCGAGTTTTTTTAAAAACGTGGCTCCACTGTAGATACTTTCTCCCTCTCTAGATTTGAATTTTCAAGAGAAAGAAGACTGTCCCACATGAAAAACAAATTTCATATAGATTCAACTTAAAGAGAAAGAAGAGCAATATTATATCGCGCATTCGTGTTCTTGTGCTTTGTTGTCGGTAATATTAGTCGGCAGCGGAATTAATTGTGATATCGAGAATCCTCAACAATGGATTGTGATCGATCAGAGAAAAGAGATCAAAATTACACTTGTACTTATCTAAAAACTTGTTGAAATTCCATTTTTTTTATCACTTCTTTTGTGTGCATATATATAACTGTGGAAGTTGACACACAAACGAAGTCGGAAGCTATGATTCGGGATGCGTAGAAGACATATTGAACGCATGACAATATT